TCACTTCTTCTTGTAAACCCATCGGGACTCAATTATGGGGGGACCACCCTCACCACCCACTCACTAATCTCTCAAAGGCTCCACCCTTCAACGTAATAATTGGATCCGGTTTTCACTCCCCTAACCCCATTGTAATCCAATAATGTTTTAAAGAGATTTATGCTATAGGGTGTGTGCACTTGCCAGAGAGACAGAGATAGACAGAGAGATAGAAAGCAAGAAATCATCTCCCCTGGAGGGGATGGCCACGCCACAATTCCTTCTGCTCCATTCTCTTGGGATTTTGGGCATGCATGCACATGCATGCACATGCACCCAGCGTGAGTTTTAAGCCGCTGGGTCCGGGACTCAAACTGTGGTTGGCCATGTGGGAGTCCAACAATGTAACCATTATACCACATGCTGGTCCCTGTAATCACATCTTAACCCATGTATTTTTGAGGACACTCAAACCATGGCAGGTACTATTTTTATTCCATTTTACTGATAAGGGAACCTGGACCCAAGGGTTAAATATTTGGTGTCACACCATTAACAAATGTGGAGTGGGTCGCAGAGCCAGACACACACACTTCATCCTTAGACCATCTGCTTCTCCTGTTTGGAAGCACGTGTGGTATGTCACACTCTGTACTTCACAATTTGTGTCTGCATGGCAACATAGCAAATTAGGTATTATTATTTCCATTTTACAGATGAGAAAAAAAAAAAAAAAGCTCAGAGGAACTAAGGAACTTGCTCAAACCAAAGGACTTAGCCAAACTTGCTACTGCATCCTCAGGCTCCAGGCCAAGGCTTTGGGCCATGGTCACTTTTGTCAGAGGTGCAGAATCGACCAGAAACTTCTGACAAGTAGCACTATCAAAAACTAAACTGCCTTGCATCAGGGTAGTGGAAGAGGCTTAGGAGATTCTCTTCAATGGAAACCATGGAATGAAAATTGATGTCAGCTAGGGAGGGAAGCAGGAGAAGGAATTCAAGTGCCGTATAAAACATTGAACCCAATGCCTGTACAATTTTGTCCTGCTCTGGGGTTTGATAAGGCTGTGTTTCTTCTCGTCTTCCCAGGCCGTCTTGTTTTCCCCTGGGCATTCTCAAATGTATGTGCAAATCTCACTCTGATATTTGAACCTGGCTCTGTGGGTTAGATCGCCTTGGTAAGATACTCCCTTGCTAGGATGTTTGACATGACGCCTTGGAGGAAATGTTAGGTCATTTGAGAAGTCAGCAGCATAAACACTAAGTGGTCAAGTTAACTGAAGGAAAATGTGCTGTGTGGGTCTTCACACACCCTCAACAGGTGTACCTTCTAATAGCGTCAGGTCACCCTTCGACATACTGTGATGGTGAAAGTATGTGGCTGTTTCGAGTTTTCTATTGTAGGGTTTATCAGCGCCCAATTTAAGAGTGTAGTCTCTTGGGATCAGCAGATGGCATAATGGTTATGTTGTTGGACTTCCGCATGGTCAACCGTGGTTCGAGTCCCAGACCCAGCAGCTCAAAACTCAGGCCAGACATGTGTGCGTATGTGCCCAAAATCCCAAGAGGAGAGTAGAGGAAAAAGGATTGCAGCATGGCCATCCCACTTCTGTGTGTGGGGGGGGTGATTTCTCACTTTGTGACTATTTGGCGAGTGCAAGTGTCCTATAGGAAAGAATCTCAAGATAAATAAATAAGTAAATAAAAAGAGTGTACTTTGTAGTTTCTCTTGGATTGTCTCAATGTTATCTCCTCATAACTTGCCTGCTCTATTAGACGTCTTCTTTCAGTCTGAATGTCTGCTGGCAGAAATGGCTTCCTTCCATGTTCCCCTGGTGATTCCTGTCTTGCCATCTTGCGATGTGGCTCTGGCATGCTGTCCTTACTTGTCTTCTGAAACCACCTCTTGATCCTTCATCCTGTGGGTAACAAAGGACCTCAGTACCTCTGAGTCAGGGGATCTGTATAAATTCTGCATTTATATCTTTTTATTCCTCACTCTCACCAATCTTCTGCTTTGAAGCAGCCCTTCCCATGTCTCCTACACGTCTACCGATGGTCTTTCTTCGCTGACCTCATGTCGACGTGTTGATGGGTGAGCCCGCTCTGCTTGTGTTGCCATGTCGGTCTCATCTTTCTTTTTAGCTCAAAGCTGAGGGACCCCCCCCGCCCCTTTTCTTCCTATCTCCTGCACTTGTTCATTCCTTGACCTTTATTTCATTGTTAAATCTACCGGACATTTAAATGTTTCTCTGGAGCAGGCAGGAGCATGGGGAAGGAGGTTGAAGTGATTCAGGAATTAACTGGTGGTCCCCATGGCCTCTGAAGTTTATTGGCCCATGTGGAGCTAGGATGGAAAAGAAATTATGTTGCATGTGACAATAGTGGGTAGATTCATAGAATAGGGACGCACTCACAGTGAGGGGCTTACATCTGTGCTACTGTCTGTTTCATAAACTCAAAGGTATCACTGTCATGCCCCTCTGGTAAACTGAAATGGACTCCCAGAGGGTTTTGATGAAGTAGCTGTGTCCGTAGGTTAGTTGGGTTATAGAAGGGGAGATGGGAGTCTGTGCTTGTATATATTATTAGCATGAAATCTAGAAAATAAAGAAACACTGTGTACATCTAGATGGGTAATAGATATTGAATTTATTCTCATATTTAAAGGTCCAATGACTGGTTAAAATTCACTCAAATGTTGGTGGACTAAGTGTAAATGCATACAGTTCCAATTCTAGGGAGCATCTTAACTTCGGTACAGGAATATTACCTGTCACTTTTAGGGGGTGACACAGTCAGGCAACAGTCACTCTCTGAGAATACCTTTACAAGCTAGGAGATACTGATAAGATTGGAACCACAGAGAGTGAGCGCGATGGCATCTCTGCCATGGAAAGGAAGACACCAGACATTTTATATCCACAAGCAACACGGGATGGAATCAGGAGGGTTTCCAGGTTACTGACGGCATCTCAGTGGATTAGCGAGTTTTCTCCATGGTAACAGCATATTAATTTCTACCCTTTGCCGGAACAATCCATTAATTTTTTGCAGAAGTTATACTTTCTTTTTGAACTCCCAGTTGGATCTACTGTGATAACCAACTTGCAGTTCCTCCTCCCTCTCTCCCTTTTTTCTTTCTTCTTTTTCCTCATTTTTCTTCTCCAAGAAAGAGAAAATAAAACACAAAGGTTAACCATTGAAGAAATGTGACACTATCCAGGTTGCATGCGGATGTTATTTCCCTTGCTGAAATTGCTACTGTTAAAAAAGATTGTTTCGTTAAAAAAAAAAAAGTTTTTTCTTTCTTCTTTTTCCTCATTTTTCTTCTCCAAGAAAGAGAAAATAAAACACAAAGGTTAACCATTGAAGAAATGTGACACTATCCAGGTTGCATGCGGATGTTGTTATTTCCCTTGCTGAAATTGCTACTGTTAAAAAAGATTGTTTCGTTAAAAAAAAAAAAAGAGAGAGAGAGAGAGGGAAAAAAAGAAACAGGAAAAAAATAAGCCTGTAGAGACAGCGTGTTTGGGGATCTTGTGCTAAACCTTCAGTGTGTTCTGTGCTGTATGTTGACTATCAAAAGCGGAGCTGAGATATGAAATATTGTTCCTTATTTAACGTTTCACGCTCTGATCTCTGCATTGCGTATTTGCTCCTCTTGTGACCTTCTCTTTGCATTTATAACTGCTTCTTTTCACCCATAATGCAAAAATAAGTGTACATTCCTACAGAGAAATTAAAGGAAGCTGTCAGCGTAGAGTTAATATAGTTAAAACATCCTTAACTGTGCTACGAACCCCTTAAATAATTAAAACTGTATGCTTGAAGAGTCAGATTTGCATTTCTTTACCAAGTTTATTTAGTACACTTTGTTACACTCAATTAAATGAGAATGTTCTGTTTCATTTTCTTTGCTTCGGGTTGATCATTCTGCCTTTTGATTCCGATGCCCTAGTGTAATTTCACAGTGCTTAGGTCTCTAAAACTATACATATATTAATGCGTATGTAGATATATACATACCCATTAAAAGGCACGCTATTTGTACTGAAGAGACTCTTTGCCCAAGGCATTTGAGCATTCTCAGTAACCTAAGGTGTAATTGGGACTGCAGATAATTCATCGAGGTAAAGAAGAGCTTGACAAAGATTTTTTTTTTAAGTTTATTTATTTATTTATTTAATGAGAGCGAGGGAGATAGAGTAGCACCTTCAGAATCTCCCACAGCGATCCCCACAGCCTTCCAGCCTGCGGGATCCCAGGCCGGTGTGTGCTTGGTGCATGCAGGTGCCCCCATGCTCGGGACTAAACCCAGATCTTCCCTGTGGCCTCCAGCACTGCAGAGCATTGAGCTAAGGTGTGTTGCTGCAACTGGACCTGAATGAAAAGCTCCCTTAACATTTTTTTTAAAGCCTTGTTATTTTGGCATCACCTTCCTGCTCGACAGTTTGGTTTGTGAATCTTTTAGGAAAAACACGAGGACACAGGTGTTGAGTGGTTGTGGAAGGGAGATGAAATGGAAGCGCTGTCCCTCCACCTCTCAGCTGGCAGTTTGTGCAGACTGCTCTCCATAAATTAGTTCGCTGCTTAAGTTATGCATGTCTAAGAAGGAATAAATTAGTTATCCATTTCCCAGTGAGGAGTGGGATCAATTGGAGCATGATGAGAGAGAAATAGCATAATTTTGCTTCTCCAGTTGGGGTTCAGTGTCCCTCCACTTCACCATTAATGACTCTATCAGTTTCCTGGGATGTTTCTGACTCTCTGTGTGATAAGATATGCTTTCCTTTTCATTTTTCTGCCAGGTAAGTAAGACGGTTGCATTTGCCCGGTGGGTATGTATGGGTGAGACTGGCTCCTTACACCCAAACGCATCCCTGCTACAGCAAGCCCCTCTGCCTTTGCCTGGTTTTGTGTGGGTGTGTTCATGGATAACAGTCGATATGTATGTGTGATGACAATGTCGAGGCTGCTGATATGTTTAACTGTTATGGGATCTGTTATGTCTACTTTAGGGTCGACCCCATCCCATATGACACTCCAAAACCAGCGGGCCACACGCGGTTTGTCTGCATCTCAGACACACACTCCAGAACAGATGGTATCCAGATGCCTTATGGGGACATCCTTCTCCACACAGGCGATTTCACCGAGCTGGGACTGCCCTCAGAGGTTAAGAAGTTTAATGACTGGTTAGGTAAGGAATGATTGCGTTCTGGCGGCCCCAATTAACCTTTCCCGTCCGAGTGTCACTCACTGCGTCCTAATTGAATTAGAGCACTTGGAAGCCAGCTCAGCCATTTCTCGTATGATATGCGGTGGTGTCTAGCCTTAATCCAATTCTGTTAATTAAAGATGAATTTTTAGATATTTAATTTTACTGTGCATCCTTTCAGTGTCTGGCCTCGGCGGCTCTGGGGCAGAGGGATGGAAAGCTTTGAAACCGATCTCGTCTCACTCATTCGGCTTTAATGAGGGCCCTCCCTGGCACACGTGAGACCTGGAATCGTATTTTTCATTCATTGGCTCTGCAGTCTTCCCTCACTGCGAGGAGTGAAGGTGGACAAATGACCTACGAGTAAGGGAGCGTTGGTGAGAGAGGAGGAAGACGAGCCTGTCCTGAGATGCAGTGACGTTGCTACAGTGAGCGCTGCCTACGAGCAGCTTTTCCAAGTACACAGAAGGGTGTCCTAAGACCAGCCGGGAGAAAAGAGCGTATCCTGCCCTAAAGCTCCGAAACCTGCAGATGCGCTGGTGACCCGTGCACTGTGAAAGGATGAGGGCAACTTTGTGGTTGCCGTAGAGGCACTCACAGGTCAGGTTACTGCAAAATTCTGGGTCCTAGGCCATGCAAGTGCCAAACACTATCTTTACAGGCCATCGGGGGCGGGCGGGGGTCTTTCTACCTAGATAAGGAGACAGATCTTTGAAAGCATCCTCTTTGGGGAGGGAAAAGCGATCTGAGCTTTTAGAATCTCTAAAGACTGAAGAATTACATAGTAAAGAGTAGAAATGTCTCCGGTAGAGTAATGTCATGGGTAATACCTCAGCCAACAAAAATTGCTCGAGAAATTTAAGCAGAAACTTCAAAATTTCATTTTTCATCAAGCTCACACAGGGTTTGAGGCATTTAAAAATTATATCCTGAATGACTAAATGTATATATGTGTTCCTGGAAAAGCAGTGTTCATGAAAAACAGGTAAATGTTCAGAGGCGTAAATAACATGCCTAAGTAGTGACTATTGTGATTTTTCATTTGAATTGCACGTCTGTTTACATTGTTTGTAATCGACCTCAGAGTGCGTTTCTGCTCTTTTACGTTGGCTATTTTGACTTACTGATATTGCTAAGATTTTAAATGTTATTGCATAATTTATGTATTAGCCTTTTAAATTGCATGACATTCATATTGCTGGCCATGCCTTTATTTAATAAAACATCCCTCTAAAAAGTGGACGTTTGAATCACAATCAGCCAGCTAGCACAGAAATGTCTGTTTTTGTGTGTGCGTTTCTTTTCGCTCCTGTTGACTAATTTCTCGGGGTAAAATTATGCATGTGGATAAATTACCCAGGCGGAGGGTGTGAAATCCCTGTGGTTCCTCTGCATTCGGGCATCGGGCTCCCGAAGGACAAGCCCGAGGCAGCCGAGCTGTGTCACTCACAGGAGGGCCTGTACCACCACCTCTGCAGTCCTGGATGTTGACGCTTTCACGTTTTGTGCTGCTTCGGTAGGGATTCAGTTATCCTATTTAAAACAGCAGGGTATTTTAAATGTGGTTTAGCATAATCTCCTCCTTTTTACAGATGACAGATGTGAGGAAGTGACTTTCTCAGTTTCCTGTGGCAGAGTGGGTCTGTAATCCAGATCTTTCCACGTCTACTCTTTCACCTCCCTAAAATGTGCTTTCAAGTATGAGTATCTCTTCCTTTTAGCTACTTTTCTCTATGAACCATTGGCAGGTGGCATTGTTTTGGGGTGAATATTGACAGTTTAAACCATCCTTGACACCTGCATCTCAACACAAAAATTATAGAGCAGCATTGACAGCGCTGATTCTTGAAAGGAACGGGGCTAGGGGAGTGTTTATGGGAATACAGGACAGGTTAGATCCTGGTTGTAATCTTGTTTAGCATTGACCTTGGGCAACTGAGTTAACCTCCTTTCTCCTTGGTTTCCCTCTACAGAACTAAGGATTAATACTACCTGTCTTTCTGGATTGTTGTGTAGATTAATCAGTAAATGATTGCTGCTAGGAAGTTTTTGTGGGCCATTAATAACTGAATGGGGAACGTGGTGAATGGACCATCCACAGATATTTAAAGGGTAAAAACAAGGAGAGGTCAGAGGAGTTCTTTAGGAGATTAGAGTAAACACTGGGAAATTTTATAAGGGAAAGTACTCCATAAATGGAAATGTGCCGAAACTAAGGAAATAAAATAAGGGAATAAAATGCAAAGGCCTGTCTGAGCGGTCAGTCCCTTCTCTGCTCATTTCTGCTCTGATCTGGCGAGGCAAGGGGAGGTCTCAGCAGGGCTGGAGAATGTGGGCTGGAAGGGAGCCCACGGGATCTGGGTAGAGAAGTTGGGACCCCATGAAGAAGACCCGGAACAGCTCACTGTTATCGGGGCAACCTCGTGGTGCTGGGAGGTGAAGAGAGCTGGTGTGTGTTACTCCACCAAGTGGCTCCGTCAGGAACCTCTCGCCTGAGAGGGGTGCTTTCAGCCACAGCTGCCCAGGGTCTGGCATAGTGGTGTCGGGGGCCAGGTCCATCTGGGGCTTTCACCCCAGTGGGGTGTGCAGCTGTCGCCACAGGCCTCACAGATCTGGCACCAACCTGACCATCCTCCAAGGTCCTTTACACTGCCTGGGTTAGCCTGCCCCTCCTACCTGTCTCTCCTACCTATCCCTGGACAGTTGCTGATGTGACCTCCATTTACCATGAAAACCTGAATCTCGGCTGGGTTGACTGACTCAAGGTCAGTTAGTAAATAAGAACCTCAGAGAGGATTCGTAACCCAGCCATAGTCATTCACTCTGTTAGTACCCCGGGGCCCTGGGGCTGAATCTCGCACCAAAGCTTGAGTACCTTCCCTTTATTATTCTGTGATGTTGTGAGTGGGCGGTGACAGCTCCGAAGCTTGCAGACCTTAGGCTTGAACTAAGAGATGCTGAAGTTTTCGGCACCTTCCGGTGGGAGCTGTGCAGTGGCGTGGCCCTGTGCTAGTGCTGCACCTATTTGAAGGATGTGTTTACGCCCCGTTGCTCTTGCGTTTGACCCTGACCTCCCAGCTGCAAGGCCTGAGAACGCCAGCATGAATTCTCTGTTGGTTCAGAGATGATGGGCCCTGGTTAATATGTACATATGTCACCGGGCAGGTGTAACACAGTAATTTATGAGATACGCTGGCACAGCACAGGGTCATGAAAAGGTACAACTCAAACCAGGTGCCACGAGAGGATAGGATTCGTAACCCAGCCATAGTCATTCACTCTGTTAGTACCCCGGGGCCCTGGGGCTGAATCTCGCACCAAAGCTTGAGTACCTTCCCTTTATTATTCTGTGATGTTGTGAGTGGGCGGTGACAGCTCCGAAGCTTGCAGACCTTAGGCTTGAACTAAGAGATGCTGAAGTTTTCGGCACCTTCCGGTGGGAGCTGTGCAGTGGCGTGGCCCTGTGCTAGTGCTGCACCTATTTGAAGGATGTGTTTACGCCCCGTTGCTCTTGCGTTTGACCCTGACCTCCCAGCTGCAAGGCCTGAGAACGCCAGCATGAATTCTCTGTTGGTTCAGAGATGATGGGCCCTGGTTAATATGTACATATGTCACCGGGCAGGTGTAACACAGTAATTTATGAGATACGCTGGCACAGCACAGGGTCATGAAAAGGTACAACTCAAACCAGGTGCCACGAGAGGATGGAAGGGCAGGGTCAGGCTAAGGGACAGCTCGGGACACCCAGCTTCGGCTTCGCGCCTGCGGTAGGGGCTTAGACGCCTACCGTGACAGCCTCACTGGTAAAGTGGGCCTCACGTGACAACACACCCCACGGTTGTTGGGAGGTTGTACTTTGTGATACAACGTGTGCTGTTCTAGAATGACTCCTGGCTTACGGACTGTGTTCAACAAGGGTAGAGGAAAACGACAGAGCCAGAGGCATGGATTCCAAGAGGCAGAAACTGAAGGGGCCTAAGGGATTTAGAGAGGATTTGGAGTATAAGAGGGAGCGTGGACATGTATAAGAACCGAAGTTGAAAACAAGCCTCCCTCTTTTTTTTTTTTTTTTTTGAGAGGTTTTTGCTATAGAGCGTGTGCGCTCACCAGACAGACAGAGAGAGACATAGAGACAGAAAGCGAGAAATCACTCCCCAGGGGGGATGGCCACGCTGCAATCCCTTCTCCTCCATTCTCCTCTCGGGATCTTGGGCACGCATGCACACGCGCCCGGCGTGAGTTTTAAGCTGCCGGGTCCGGGACGCAAACTGCGGTCGACTACATGGGAGTCGAGCAACATAGCCATTATGCTAACTGCTGGTCTCAACAAGCCTCCCGATTAATAGTTAAACCCACGAGACAGGATGTAGGCCTGGAAGAAAGCTTGGAGGTTGTTGACTGGTAGTAGGGGAAACTGAGGCCAGAGAGTTTGGATGAATTGCCTTGGGCCATAGTGAACGGCCAAGTTGGGCCTGGAACTTGGACACGGGGAGGGGGCTGTGGAAGGAGTGAACAACATGAATTGTCTACACGCAATAGCGTCTGGGCCCCGTACCATCCCCTGCCCCTGCTTGTGTGTATTGCTTCCTCTATGTGTGTGTGTGTGACAGAGAGACTACATATTATATATATTCTGTTGTCTCTATGAGGGGTGAGGGATGACGGGCTGGTGCCACCACCCATGGCTCTTTTTCTGTTGTGTGGCCCAGGCCAGCCTCAAGCTTGGAGCAGCTGGCTGAGCCTCCCCTGAGTTGCCAGGATTGCAGGGGAGCCATGAGCTCCCTGTTTTCTGGATCTCCCGTCTGGCATTTTGGGTGTCCCAGTCCTTCACTCTGACACACGTACTGCCCTCTGGCTGCTGTCCACACTGCTGGCTTCGAGAGAACCAGTCCAGGGTCAGAGGCCCGTGGTTTCTTATTGCCAGGACTACAGAGCCCTGGGGAAGGGGCCCCAGGATTCCCAAAGAAATATAAGACATCTTC